TTGCACGGAGCGGGAGCCAGCTCCTGTATTCCAGCCTGGCGGAGGCAACATCTCCAAGCCCTAAGGAACAGTTGTGCACGCTGCCCAGCGCACGCAGGGCCCTTGCCTTCACCAGGCCAACTGCAGAGTCATTTTCAATTCCATCTACTTAGTAGCAGGGTGAGCTCGTTTGATGAACGCACTTAACGGCTCTGTTACTCCGGCGAAACCAAATTCCTTTGACTTCRCGGGGAGAGGATCCAGGAAACGCTGGATCCTCTTGCAAACTCCCTCCTGCCTCTCCCAGCCTTAGTTTGTGCTAAGCGGTTGTATGTTGTCCGTGCTGGTGAAGAGCTTCCAGATCGCCTCATGTGGAAACTACATGGTTTTAACCAGCTTGATCGCCAATCCATTACTTAAAGGCAGTGCAACATTTTTAATGCAGGTCTGGCATCAGCGGGATGCTTCACCATATGCATTTAAAGTCAAATCTCTCCCTCTTTTTCTTTTTAAATATACATTTTTAAAGTATTATGTTACTTTTAAGAAGCCTCTTGGCATAGGCAGCGAGTGCCCTATTGTTTCCGAAATGCAACGTGGCTGCTCTGAGGTTAAGAAGTTCTGAATTATGGGCCCAGCAAATACACTGAATTGCTGCTTCCTAATCCCTGTCCAGATCGACTTATGGTTTCTTTAAAATATCCGTTTCTTAATGGATAAAAACATTCTACCATGGGCAGAGACTAAATTGTTTCCAAAGGAAGCTAGGCAAGCATTAGTGGGAAGAAAACATATTGTGGGATTCAGCTTCAGCCTCAAAGGAAGGAACACGCTTAAGATGGGTTTCCTGCCTCCTTCCAGGCTCTGAATGCTTCTGTGCCTATCTTTAAACTACTTTCTGCTCCTCTCCATTACATTTGCCCACTGCACGATGGACGTCCCTTAAATTAATTTGCCATATAGCGGTCAAAGACGAAACGTGAGGCAGTGCTGTCCTGGAGTGTCCCTGCAGARCAAGGCCGAGCACGAGGCCCCGTTGCGCTTGCCACCCACGTGTAGGGAGCAGAAAGCAGCGTGCGAGGAGCTGCCCCGGCTTCCTGACCGCGCGGAGGCATCCGCGCCGTGCCGGCATCGCGGGCGCCTTGCAGGAGCGTGTGAATTGCAGGGGGGCGAATTGCAGTGGAGCGAATTGCAGGCCGGTGAATTGCAGGAACGCGAATTGCAGAGGGGCGAATTGCAGGGGGGCGAATTGCAGGAGCA